AATCTCCTCAGCGATATTTAAATGAGGCTGTAATTAGATTAATTGCGGACCGGTGTAGTCTATGCACCAAACAAGTTCCGCGGAGATCGAGACCTCCAAAGACTTGGGGTCGAGATCCAGCCCTGCCATAATTTGGGCCAACAAAAGCGCGCCATTATCGAGCCGTGGATCCGTTGCACACCGCACCTTGTGTGTTTGTGTGGTGCGAACTTCTCCCATTGTTCTTGCCAGCTAGCTGCACCGGCAACCTAACGCAATCATCTGGCGACAATCGCGAACACAGGGCCGTTTAATTCAAAGCGAATAATTTCGTCTGCAAATTTCCACGTGAGTAAACACGACGTCATGGACGTGGCTGTCACGGTTGGTTGCCTTCACGGCGATTGGTTTCAGTTTGGGGAGAAGAAATACATTTTCCAAACCATCGCCCCGCAACAACTGGAGCCACGAGTTAACGCTAAACTGTCCTTAAGAAAAACGTGGTGTTAGATGGGGGTAGAAGATGGCAGTTTTAGCTAGTCTAGACACGATTCTGCCCTAATGCTCGTCTATGTTCTACAATCTACTCTAGTGTATGTTCTACAATCTGCTCTAGTGTATGTTCTACAATCTACTCTAGTGTATGTTCTACAATCTGCTCTAGTGTACGTTTTACCCAAAGTGGCTCCTAAGATACTCATCAATCTCATGGCTCTGTACCAAGACCTACCGACGCTAGAACCAGATACTATAATCAATGCCATAATCCCACTAGAGCTGGCCATCATAGCCAGAATCCCCTGGCCAAGCCATCGGCCTGTAGGTCGATCAGCTGCCTATTGTTGACCCGTGGGGATTTGTAGTTCGATACGTTGCGTCTTGTTTTCATGTTAAGTCTTTAGGTAGACACCCTCAACACGACCTGCCACCAGTAACACGACCTAATATAGGCACCCTCAACACGACCTAGGATAGTCACCCTCAACAGGACCTGACACCCTCAACATGACCTAGGATAGTCACCCTCAACACGACCTGACACCCTCAACATGACCTAGGATAGTCACCCTCAACACGACCTGACACCCTCAACATGACCTAATATAGACACCCTCAACACGACCTGCCACCAGTAACATGACCTAATATAGACACCCTCAACACGACCTGACACCCTCAACACGACCTAATATAGACACCCTCAACATAACCTCACACCATCAACACGACCTAATACAGACACCATCAACATGACCAATATAGACACTATCAACACGACCTAACACCATCAACATGACCTAATATAGACAGCCTCAACATGACCTCACACCATTAACCTGACCTAATAATATAGACACCCTCAGCACCATCTCAGTGATCATCTACTCGTGATAGAATCTAAGATTATATTCCTATTCTCTCTAACCATCTACTCGTGATAGAATCTAAGATTATATTCCTATTCTCCCCACCTCTAGCCATCTACCGGCTACACTAGGTAGCCTTTAGAGCGCGTCATGTGGAAACTATTTCAGTACTGATGTAGCCCGCAGACCGCCCCAGGCCATCGGCCAGTGATTGATCACCGGCCGGGCTTCGATTGACAGTGAAGGGCTATTTGCGCGGGATGCTCAATTTTCCCCCCTTTGCAGGAATTCTCTCCCTTCTATTGGTCTACTGTTACTGTCCCTTCGAACAGCAACGATGATAACGATAAAGCTAATAATTGGTCGAGAATGACTATCGTCCTTGTTTATGGGCTAAGACAAAACGAAAGGTTTAGGGTCAGACGTGAGGGGAGGGGAGGGGGAGAGAAACGACTGGATGTTTGTGATCCTATGCCTGAACCTGGTAATTAGTCCGTCGTTTTTTTTTTGTTTTTTTTTAAGATGGTCGTTTTCCTACAGCCAGCTACATTTTTTTTTCTTAATCCACGCGACCGACATAGGCATTTCCCAGATTTATGACGTCATGGGGATGACGTCATTTAATAGCTTGAACTACAGCTAACTGACCTACTGAATTGACCCATGTCCACTCACATAATTTTCAAAGTTGAGGGTTGAAATATGAAAAAGAAAATTTTCATCAATACCCTAGACATGGGGCAATAGCCTTAAGACAATGTACATTGTGTTTATGCTACCATTGTATTCTATCTGAAGGAGCTGTTAGCTAGAGATACGCCTTAAAGTGTAGAAATACACATGCAATTTTTTCGGAAAAAAAAGAAAGAAAACCCCACCAGATAAAACGACCACTACTATCAAGCTGTTTGTCTTTAGGTTTCCGACGCCACACAGCATAAGATAGGGCGACTCCGTTGTACTGTGTACACGGTTGCTAGCCCGGGCAGGGGTGGGGAGCTATTATCTTTTTGTTTTTCTTACCTTTTTTTTTCTCTGTTTTGAAAACTTTGCCGGGAAAACAAAAATTATCCTCCGTCAAAACTTTGGTTTAATCCAGCAGACCTGGCTCATATGTGCTTGTTAGTTTCCTGGGTGTCTGCCCAACTTCCCTGCCCCACTTCTCTGCCATACTCCCAGCTCCGTGCCCCATTTCTCTGCCCTAATCTAAATTTTCTGCCCATTTTCTCTGGCCTACTTAGAGTCTACCCCCTCCCACCCAACTCCAACTACCCAGAGCTATTGTTCAGCTCCACATCTACAACTGCCCTGCCCATGACTTAGCCCTGCCCATGACTTAGCCCCCATCCCCCCATCTTATCCCTGCCCATGACTTAGCCCCCATCCCCCCATCGTATCCCTGCCCATGACTTAGCCCTGCTCTTGTTTTAGCCCTGCCCATGACTTAGCCGCCTCCCCCCACATCTTATCCCTGCCCATGATTTAGCACCCCCCCCCATCCTATCCCTGCCCATGACGTAGCCCCCCCCCCCTTCCCCCATCCTATCCCTGCCCATGACTTAGCCCTTCTCTTGTCATGTCTACCAGCAGACGTTTGAAGTCGACACGATGTTTTCGCTAACCACGGACGTGCATTACTCGCCGGGTCCCGTCTTAAGTTAGCGCCGGCCTAAGATGTGCCCGGGTGTTGCCGGCTATTATACCACGTGACCTGCAGGCCTGACGATACGCGCTTGTAACTTTAAGAGTTACTGCCTAGTGGTGTAACACAATTTACTCGGTTCACTCTTTAAGTGCTCATTAACGGCCAGCACCGTTTAGAAGCAATTTCAGTCACGTGTTTTCGACTCGTCTATTTCGCGTGCTGAAGGGATCAGAACCCTTCACGTACGAGGGTTGAATTTTTCTATTTGCCCTTTGAGTTAGCTGAAATTGAAACCGCGGGGATCCCGTGGCGATGTTGTGGAGCCAATCTGCCTTTTGTTACACGAAAGGAAAGGCCGGCCCTGGATGTGTTTACTCTAGCGGTCCTCGGCACACACGGCTATTTGTGAAGTCAAGTGATCCCGAATAGGCGTTACTGAGGGGGGAAAAATTGGGGTGAGCAGTTTGGCTGGATTTTGTCCGCTGCTCGTGGAATTGTTAAGTTTATTTTAGGGACACTGCCCGGGCAGGATTAACATCTGAGGGGCCAATTGGATTAAATCATCTGCTCCGACGTCACGGATTACGTTACACACGTCTCGCGGTTTTCGGCGTGACTGTCCGGGATTTGATACCTTGTGGGCTGGCCTTTCATTAGAGTAACCTAAGTAGAGGTCAGGGCGCGATTAGGTGCACAGCGTATCTCAGTGTGCGTCCTGGCATGTTGGTGCGCAGATGGAAGCTGCGTAGAACGGAGGAAAACTAAACGGCCGCGCATCTTAGAAAATGTTTCGTTTTTTTTTTCTTACACACGTCGAACGTATCTTTAACGTAATAAGAAAATATTTATTGAAGAAAAATTTGTGGATGTTTGATTGCTTAATGGATGAATGGATGTGGTTGTTGGGTTTTGTTGTTACAGTGCATGTTGTTTTTTGTACTGTTTGATTGTTTCACGAGGTTTGTTGGTTGTGGTTGTAATAAGGTTGCTGCTAGATATGTTTGCTGTGATTGTGTGAGAGAGCTTTAAGGAATGTATTCGAGCAGTGAGCACCACATACACGAGCGTGAGGGAATGTATTCGAGCTGTGAGCACCACATACACGAGCGTGAGTACCACATACACGAGCGTGAGGGAATGTATTCGAGCAGTGAGTACCACATACACGAGCGTGATTGAATGTATTCGAGCAGTGAGTACCACATACACGAGCGTGAGTACCACATACACGAGCGTGAGGGAATGTATTCGAGCAGTGAGTACCACATACACGAGCGTGAGTACCACATACACGAGCGTGAGGGAATGTATTCGAGCAGTGAGTACCACATACACGATAGTGAGGGAATGTATTCGAGCAGTAAGACCACATACACGAGCGTGAGTACCACATACACGAGCGTGAGGGAATGTGAGCACCGCCTGACGCTCTGGAATTAAATTGGAAACTGTTTGCTTTTGTCTCGGACAGACAATAACATGGCGTCCGCGTCAATTAAAGCGTTTGGGCCGGTGTTCCCAGATCAAAGGCGCCAGGCAATTAACACCCGGTCCTCGGGCAGGAGGAATCAAGGCCCTCCTTTAATTAGTGAAGATACCCGAGCCTGTAGGTCGATAAGTAGCTGGGCATTGGCGTGCATGATTGACACCTCTGACAGGACAGGATTGAGGCCAAGTCCTAGCCCAACATCAATCGTTTCAATGAATCCGCCGCCGCCTGCTTTCAAGTTTTTAATTAAGTTTCGTTTTTTTTTTTTTTTATAAATCTTTCACATCCTTTCGCTTAGCGCCAGACATCTTGCCGCTCTAGCAAGTTTTGAGGTGTTCACATCGACACATGAGTTTAAGTTTACATCAGACAAACTGTACAACAACACAGGCTACGTCACAATCGTCACTATTACATGTACTTGTTACACACCATTGACACCACACACTATTTATATCACCCAATCACTGGTATGCACCAGAACAAAGTTTCAGTGGTATTTGTTTCTTCTGTTACCTAGGTGATGGTCTAGACAACAGCGTCGGGTCGGGTGAAGGTACGGCAGATGAAGACGACGAGAGAGGCTCTAAGAGAAATAAAAAACGAGGAATTTTCCCCAAAGTGGCTACAAATATTATGAGGGCGTGGTTATTCCAGCATTTATCGGTAAGTTGTGTAGTAATGTTTGTTTTTCTGATTAGTCCAGACTTCAGTTAACCTTTTGTGGTCTACTGTTGGCCAGCTAATTCGTGGTTTAGCTTTGGGCCATGTAATTCATGGTCTATTGATGGCCATGTAATTCATGGTCTACTATTGACTCTGTAATTCAGGGTTTAGCTCTTGGCCATGTAATTCACGGTCTACTGTTGGCCCTGTAAATCATGGTTTAACCCTTGGCCATGTGATTCATGACCTACAGTTTCCCCTGAAAGTAGGGGTTCCGTGTGTTTTGAACCAACAAAAGTTGCTCACTCCCCCCTCGCGACATGTTCAATTATAAATGAACCTTCTCCCTCACCCAACCCCGTCACTTCTGAAGGCCGCAAGGTCGGCCATTATCCCGTTGCCGTGAAATTAATTTGCACTTTTGTTTGAGTCCTAAAACCTGGCTTTAGAAGTCGATTAATATTTCCAGCGGTGAAACCTGTATCCTTTAAGCGGCGCCGAGACAGGTCTAAAACTAAACTCTGCCATCCGTGATCCCAGGAGATCGGCGGCGTGTCTTCTTCTTCCTCCCCCAATCCCGGCATTACACCGGGTCTGTGGGGAGCTATGATGATCTTAGCTCCCGCCTAAGCCTGCAGACCCCAGTACACACGGAGCCTACGACTTAGAAAGCCCACCGCCGGCTAATGAGAAACGCTACTTTGAGTGACAGAAGCGTTCTCGGCGTTCGCAATAGGGTGTTAGTTTTGGGGCTTTGTCGTTAGGCTTCAGGTCCTTCTGGCGGATCAAGTTGACAGTTAGGATCCGCGGCTGCCTGGCCAGATAGACCTGCTCACGCGCTCAGACGCTGCGTGATTGGACTAACAAAACGTTATCCCTCCCAGTCCCCTGCTCCTGAATTCATGCCTACAATTATACTCCTATCATATGTCCATGATTAAAGGCTTATAAGCCGTTCTTGTTTATTCGCGGAGAAGCATCCGATATATATCTGGCTGTATTCGATATGAATATTCGAACAATACCGCCTCGTTTTCACCTTATTACCGCTAACCCATCCCCTCCCATCTGCTTCGCTGTCAGAGCTGGAGCCCCTCCCATTGCACGTGTAATCTGGGTGCTTTGGTGAGCCCTGATCTGATGGCCACATGTCTGGGTTCTCTGACACGAAGGACGGAGTAGCCTCGCCTCTTCATCAAAGTCAGGAGAATTCGTTTTGTCCAATTGGCGTTTTTAGCTCAAGGAAAGAAGAAAAAAAAACAAAACACGCGCATTGTAATTATGTCTAGAATTTATCTGTTTGAGTTGTCGGCCCGTCCAGAGTCTGGTGTAAGCTAAAAACAGCTACAAAATTAAAACTTTTTTTTTTTCAATTTTTTTATTTATTTACAACGCCATGTTAAAGATCTAACACACGCCATCTGTAGTGGCACGCCTCCACCAACAGGTCTACACGTAATAAATGCTCGCGCATACCGGAACTGGTGAGTCTCCGGTGGTCATACTAAACAGATACGACGTTTACTACCCACAATTCACCACCATGCCCCTCGCTGTTAGTTTCAACTGCCCTCAGTAATTCCCATTTCTTGGAGCATTGTGCTGGGTTAAAGCAACGTGCACACCCAACACGGTACAGCAAATGCTTTTAACCCACGTGACTGAGCTACGTGTGATGACTGGCTAAAAGAGATTCGAAGTTTTTCTCTTTTTATCTATTAATCGCAATTTGAAAATAAATACAATTTCAGCCTTCCGGCCTGTCGGCCCAGACAAAAGGGTCAGGGTAAATTGGAACAATTTGGACGCAGGGAATGGGACTAATCTAGTTACCCGGTTTTTTTCGGGAAAATAGTTTGGCAAAGGTTACGATCGCCCGAGCACTGGTTTGAAAACCGTAATCACCGCTGATGCAATTTCCAATACACTTTCCGCCATCTTCTGAATGGAGTCGCCGGGATAACGCGTCGATCGCCTCACCCCGTGACTCGTAGGGCTGGGCCCAATAAACACTGGCGGCTCCAGTGGCTGTCGAGGGCTGGGGAACGTGTTCCTTTGGCTGAGTGCGAGTTGATGGGAACGTGTTCCTTTGGCTGAGTACGAGTTGATGGGAACGTGTTCCTTTGGCTGAGTACGAGTTGATGGGAACGTGTTCCTTTGGCTGAGTGAGGAGTACTGGGGAGCATGTTCCCAGAGCCAAGTTTAAGTCTAAGTTTGGGGTTGAAGTACATCTTCCCACGTCTAGATGAAAGCCGATATAACGGGAGAAGGGGGGGGGGGGGGGAAATAACGTTTTCAGTTACCTGCTGTTCCCTAGCCCTAACACCTCAAAGAATATCAACACTCCCCTGACCAGTGATCAACCTACACATCCTGTATCAACATGTCCACGAGGTCACGGTGACCTGCTTGTCCGCTTTGTTTCCACACCCCCCCCCCCCCTCAACACGCCTGTGTGACATTTTAATGCGATCCTAACATTTACTTCCAACCCAATTAATTCATGACGTCACCAGAATGTGTGCCCTGACCCAACGTATCTGCTGGTCACTTTGATATTTGCCTCCCGCCGACCGTCTCGCTGTATGTCTACACGCCATCCTCACGTCCAAAATGCCACAACAACATCCAGCACTTGTAAATCTATTATTCAAAATACGTCTAAGCTATAATATTATAAAACTAAAAGAAGAAAAAAAAAACACGTGATTTACGAGCATGAACTTCCGTTAAACAATTATCAGCCGGGGTTTTTAGCCTAGTTTTACAGCACAATTTCTGTGATTAAAAAATGCCGGTGGAGCATCAATGGTACCCTGAGGGTTTCCACCGGATCCATCCACCTAGTGGAAGCTCTGCCTCGACACCGGAGACCGAGGCGACAGTTGCAGATGTAGTAAATTACAGTCTGGGAAGATGATGTGGGGACGATGATGTTGACATCAAGATGTAAGAATCAGATGTCAGGATTTCATCTAGTTTAATTAATTACCGAGGGTCGGTTGCTTTAATTATGTTCTTTCACCAAGTTAATAGCCGCCGACTAATTATTACCGGAATTAAAAACATTAAGTATAGATGGCGAGACGGACACACAACATACCATCAACTGGTAAAGCGAGCAAAACATAAAAACAACGGCCCCGACACGCCAACCAGGCATCCTCTCGGCTAAAAATAACTGTCCCGCAGGAGAGAAAAAAACCCGCCATATAGCAAACTCCAGTAATGGATACGGTTTATTTCTCGTGCTGGTGACGAGAGTTGAAACGAGAGTTGAGGCCGGGAGTTGGAAGCGATGAGATTTGTAATTAGTTCTTGCCTGACAAAACAGTGCCAATGTGGTACCGGCTGGGGTGACGGGGAACAATTCCTGGAACAAAGAACGCCAAAGTTAGCGTAAAAACAGTTAGCAAAAAGCGGTTATGATAGGGGAGGGGAACTCGTGTTTACATGCTCCGGGGGGCGGGGTGTTTAGATGCTATATAATTACACATGTAATGAGATTATCCCAAAACGTGGAGTTATCTGTCTGGCACAAAACAAAACAACGCAGGTTAAGTATTTTAAAACTTTACAAATTGTTACCTCATATTGTGAGATTTATGTTGTGGAGACTGTCTTTGTTAGCGGGTGGACGACTGTACAGCCGCCTGGCCTAGAGTGGAAGTTGCCTAATTGGAATGAAAGCTATTGGGGTGCCGAAGGGATGGCACATAAAAATACGGGTGCCAGCTCCCGGACTATCGGGTTCCATGCGTTCTGCTGAATGATTAATGATTGCGCAAATAGTCGGTTTCCGGCTAATGGTTTTCCGATAGGTTAAAATTTTTGATGGCGTTTTTTGATAAGTAATCTAGGGTTTTATCTTCAAAATGTGTTGATTAGATCAACTGCGGGTGGGGTGTGTGTAAGGGGGGTGGGGGGCATTGATCTGAGAAGGGCAGTGTGTTAAAATTTCAGTCAAGGCTGTATTTGCAAGTTCTAGCCATATTCTATTCTGAGAAAAAGCTGCATACGACAGTTTGAAAAAAAAGTTGTGTATTATCCTAGCTACTGACACTGATAAGCACATAAATTTCACTTGAAGTCAAATTAAAAATGTCAGTACGCCCATGAATTCAATCATGACTTAGCCAGGTTTTTAAAATGTCTTTCAATTCTGTTTTATACCGCTTGGGTTTTTATTGTGAAGAGACTATCAGGCAACTGATCTACAAAATGCACATACACAAAATGTTAACATAGTGACCAGTGAAGGACAATGGCAGCCTTATCTTTGCTGCTTATCATAGGTATCTACAGCTTATCACCTCAGTATTATTTATAGCTTGTTTATCTAATGGGTAGCTACCATCTCTTCACCATCACTCACCTCACCATTATCTCACCGTCACCTCACCTCACCATTACCTAACCATCACCTCACCCCTACCTCACCATCACCTCACCATCACCTCACCATTTTCTCACCATCATCTCACCTCACCATCACCTCAGCATTACCTCACCATCACGCACCATCCCCTCAGCATTATCCACCATCACCTCACCACTACCTCACCATCACCTCACCATCACCTCAGCATTACCCACCATCACCTCACCACTACCTCACCATCACCTCACCATCACCTCAGCATTACCTCACCATCACCTCACCACCACCTCACCATCACCTCACCATCACCTCACCAACACCTCACCATCACCTCACCATCACCTCACCACCACCTCACCACCACCTCACCATCACCTCACCACCACCTCACCATCACCTCACCACCACCTCACCATCACCTCACCACTACCTCCTGCTAACGGGCCACTCACCCCAGCGTTACCCCCTTGACAAGTGGTTACCTCTTGTTTACGCCACCAGTCAGTTATCCCCCATCCACGGTCGTTAGTTCTAATCTCATCGCGGAAGGTTACTTTTTTTCCTTCACGCCGGGCAATAATTTCTGTAGGGGAGCACCTGGGTCTCAGGGAGAAAAAAAAACAATAAGCACTTATCATATCTGGAGAGGGAAGCAACCCTTTAGATGCCAACTCCAAATAAATGTCAGCCGTTTTTTTTATTTAATGGTCTACGCTCCCCCCTCGCGCCCCGGGCGCCCCCTGAAGACGGAAGGTTGGGAGATACGATTACATGCAAATAATAGGAAAGGAAGGGGGGGGGATGAAAAAAAAGCGCACATATTTCTGGCCAATAAGCCTCGCAATGTTCGCTCAACCCCGTTTCACGCACCAGAACAAAGATTAGATCGCGGATTTGTGAAAAGAAAATAAACGCAGGAGGAAAATCTCAAGGCATATTTGAATTTTTTGGGGCCAGAATATTTAGTATCCGACTGGTTCCACTAGCTTACAGTTCCCATGGAGAAAAAAAAAATGTAGCTTTTTTAGGATCTTCGGTTGTTTTATATTTGGCTTTGTTTAAAGATTTGTTTTTTTACTTTTCAAGGCTAGAACTAAAATAATCACAACTAAAATAATCACAGCTTTAAAAAAACACAACTAAAATAATCACAACTAAAAAAATCACAGCGAAGATAACTATATTTGATATAATCACATCTAAAATATGTTCTTAAGTAGCCAGTGGATTCGAACGTTTCTCAAACAGCTTCTGGTGTATGAACTATCACAAGTGATTATCACGTGACTTGGGAGATGTTATGATTGCCCACATGGCTCCGAACAATTCTTGTAGTGCCAGCCACGTCATGCGTGCTACCCACACCACCAACGTGAGCAGTAATTGTCGCACCAGTGATTGTTGTACCCTTCGCAATTTGCCAGCTACGCCACCCCGATTATACGGAGAAGTCTAACGTGCATGCCCCCTTGACCCCCCATGTACCGTCACAGTACCCCTGGGATACGACACATAAATTGGTAATCAATCCTGAAGTCTTAACAGCCAAACACCTCACTCACACTGTTACAACACTAAACATAACCTACAAACATTTGCAAATTTTGTAAAATATAATCAGTGTTGAGAGCTGATTCAGGTTAAACATGGTCAACTGTTAAACCTCTTTAACTTTAAAAAGATATTTATATTTCTGACGATTTTTGACATTTAAAACTATCAATGTTTTCACGTTTCAAAATAGGGTCCATATTTGTGGGGTAAAATCCCCTTAATAGTAGCCCTATTGTAGATCGATGAAGCGAGGGAAAAACAAATAGTAAAGTAAGTAAAATCGTAGGATAACACTTTAAGAGGACTCGCTAGGGAGGTAACTCATTTGTCTAGTCTAAGGGCGACTACCGGTGTAAGAATGATGGGCTGGCTAAGATAGCCTCGATGGCCATGGATCTGAAAACGATGTTTTAACCAAGTCTCAGGAAAGCCTTTTAAAGCCTCATGTTGGCCGCTAACGTAATTTTGGTGTACAAACTAGCCCAGAGTTGACTCGACCCTCCCCGCACTCCTAACCCACTCGCCATTGTTTCTGGCCCATAATGCCCTGAAATTCATTTATCTTCCCGTGACCGGCACGTGGAATGGGCGGATCCGGTCAACACTTCTTGCCTTAATGCTTGTCCAAGCCGTCTACCCCCTCACCCCTCTACCAGAAGTAAACTTGTGTGCATGTAAAAAAAAAACGAAATATTCGAACAACGCCTACACTTGATGTTAAGTATTGCACAATCTGTTTATCAAAATCATAGCACGGCAATAAACATCTCAAGTATTTCTATTCACAAGAAGTAATGAAATTATTAAGAATTGAAAACAAAAACCAAAATAGCAAATCGCAAATGAATGTCCTCCCCGCTCGTTACGTGAGTTCCGGGCGGTGCACTCACGAGAAACGTATGGGGACCCAACACGACTGGAGGAGGAATGTGACGGGACATGCGAGAGAAATGACCATCAGCACTGTCTGTGGTTCTGCCACGGCCACTTCATGACGGAAGATACCACATAAACCGCTGGAGAATGGCGGAGTCGTGTGACTCGCAGACTCCATTGCCTGACGCCGTGAGCTTGGCCATTCGGATCCAAGGGATGTGCCCAAATGAGGCCATTTGAATTCAGCCAAGCCCATTGACTTTACATGATGCCACGATGACAGATGACGCATTTCCGGTCGCCTCGATTGGGAAGAGACAGGCTGACGACCTTAGTGGGTCAGGCGACGAGAAAAAAAAATCTTATTTAGAAAATGGAAGCCTAACATCTACACAGAGACGAATGTAAACAATGTTTACATAGCAAGCCCCTTCTCCCCACCCTCCCCATGTCATTTGTTTATCATCTTTGTAAAGAAAGTGTACATATGGTAAATAGCTGATTAATTATGCATTAATTATTCTGTAATCTCCCTAAATGTAGGGGATCGTGTAGCTAGGCATGGATTAGGTCAGAGAACTACATTCGTTTCTAGCCGCCATCCATTGCAAAATTCAGATTTTAATTTTCACCAGCTTTCACAGTGGTGTTTAATTCTTTTTTGTCGCGTGTTTAACACTTTAAACGCTTGATTCGATTTGTCCATACGATATTTTAGTACATTTTATCCTATTGCTTGCCACATTATCGGCGTCAGTTCCAGTTGCTACATGCATGCTAGTCCATTCACAATGAGATTTTATTTGTCACTTTTTAACTCAGAACCTGTGGTTCAGAGGTTAAGGTTTAGCTCTGTGCCAAATGTTAAGCGCTGTGGCCTGCATGTTTCCACACGATCACTAACGACTGCCGGAAGAGTTAAACTGCTGAATGACATTTAACACGGTACACCACAAAATGCAACCCCCTCCCCCAACCCCCACCGTCCACCTTCACAACAAGAGGAATAGCATCTGACAAAAAAAACAGCCCGTAGAAAGAAAGAGAAATGGATATTTACATAGAAACTTCGGACATCACCAAATTGCACAACACATTTAAAACACAGGGTACACACTCAACAACTATTAAAACAACCAGTGCACCCATCTATAGGAGATAGTTTCTTGCCTATGTGAGTATGTGAGTATAGTGGTGACATTTCATGAATGGCGCGGGATTTGATATTTAGAGGAAATACGCAATGGTCTAGCTCAGACCCCTCGCAGCGTGTGCGACCCCCAAAAATTGCCCCGACCCCGGAAACGGTCCATTTCTATTTATTTATTTTTGTCATCCCCCGGTCGGCACTGATCCCCAGTCCCGTGGACCGTCCCGACAATCGCCGGCCACCCCGACCATACTCGGATGGCAAATTGCTCACTAACTGGCGGTGGTTTGGCCAAAATTAGCGTGCAAACTGCGGCTGGATGTTGGGGGTTTCCCGAAATGGTGCGCAATTTCAGGTCATAGTTTGAAGCTAGTTATCCCTACATTTCCCACCCATCTAGTCAAAACCTGTCGGGCAGGACTCGTCCCCGGTCGGCAATTATTTATGTCCCGCTACAGCCGGCCATATTTAACCGGCGGTGTCTAGACCAACAGCCCGGCTCTATTATGGCGGCCATTTAGTGTACGTACTGGTTTCCTTAGTTATGATTCCGCATTGAAATAAATGTACAACCTGGTATTGTTACGTCCTTAATTAAACATCAATGACAGTTTTTAACACAACCGGACGTGGTTAAGTTCTATTTCCTTCTCTATGTAAGTGTAAGCTCCGTTTTTAACCGAAATGTAAGTTGACAAATGCTTGAAGGCAAAGTTCTGAAGTACTGATGTCATTGTCATTTAAAATAAAAAAAATTTTCCCCAAATCCCTCGCAATCGATATCTAATCCGCCTTCGATTTGGAATCAGATCTCCATTAATCGAAAAGTTTGTTTGCATAATACATCGACCAGATTGTCTGTGTGGAATTTACACCGTTGATTTCATTTGGCTGATACAGGTTCCTATTTCCTTTCTGCTGTAGGCCTACCTGTAAACCTAGATTTGTGTTGGTAAAACGTGGATATTTCCAAAATACGATACCTTAAGTATAAAACCGGTCACAGATTTAAAAAAAAAACTATTTTGACTAAATACTAATAAGAAATATATCTCCTCTGTTTTTATTTGTATGGGACTGTTGTGGTTTCAGCTTTCTACACTCTATCATATCATGAATGCGTATGGCCTGTGTACCTATGATATCATGTATGTGTATGGCCCGTGTAGGTTTACCTTGTGTGTTGAAAGTTAATTCCGCTACAACAACAGGTTGGGGGAGGGTTGGGGGACTTTTTTCTTTTCTACTGCCGTAAACAGATGGCGATTGGCTGTTGCCATAGCAACAAGACTACAAGGTGTTCCGAAGGCTTTGTTTTATTTTGTTGTTATTTTTCCCCCTCACGACTCACACATCAGTGTGTGTGGCCACCCAGAGAGTGATGGTTTCATAGGGTACTGTGTCACGTCAACGTGATGATTTCAGCGGGTACTGTGTCACGCCAACGTGATGATTTCAGCTGTATTTGTCACTGTTAACGTGATTTTAGCAAATAGGCACCGTGTCACGGCATAACTCAAGGTTCTCCACGTAGCATTCACTACACAACCAAACTATGCTGGGTACTGAGCTGAGCTGTGTCATGTAACTGCTACATCAGTACTTGCTACAACCTCCCCATCTCATGTACCTACTTTACTTAAATCCATTTTTTCATTCGATCAGGTATACCCAATCACGTGGTATTAATTTATCCAATTATGTCTCGCCCTGCGAGAAACCCCATCAAACCCACGTGTGGGGCGCCATCCTCCCCTTGCTACCAGCAATAAATAAACCGTTGACTTATCATTTGTTCCGCTGCTGATTTCTTCTATTCCAACTTTTTGTTTTCCCGCAGCACCCGTACCCTTCAGAGGAGCAGAAGAAACAACTGGCTCAGGACACAGGGCTAACTATCCTACAAGTCAACAATTGGTAAGTCCCTTCCTTCTTCTCTCTCTACCCCAGTTCTGACTTCTTTACCCCCCCCCCCCCCCCCCCCACCTTGCTCTGTACTCTCTCTTCCCACCTCATACTTTCATTATTTCCGCTGTTTCTATTCCCCCAACCTTCGTCCATTTAATCTTTCCCCGTTTCTTTCACAACATTTTCTCTCTACCCCCATTCCCAACTGTACACCATCTGTCCATCCCCCTCGATTCATTCTTTCTCCAACTCCACCCCACCCTCACTTCCGTTCATACCTTCACTCTATCGCCACCCTTGTACTCCTAGTGAAGCCTCTTCAACCCTAGAGATAGTTAAGGTAACAGGAATGACTCCCCTATCAACTTGAAACCTTCAGCCTTGTACAGGTTCCCCCCCCCCCCCCCCCCGTGTAAAATAGCGTATCACCAGCCCGGAGATTGGGCCGGTAACGACATTAGCATACAGTTAATGACACAACCCATTATAATTACTTATCTCTCGGCAAGACGTCATCGCCGCTACTTAACCGTTGGCTGCTCAGGAGGATTCTTCCACCGTCGTGTCGGTACGGCACCGACACGACGCTTTTTAAATTTATAGCTCTAGTTTTCCCTTCCTACCACCTCGCCTTGACGCTGATTAAAAAATATTCTAACAAGAAAGTATTCAAGTCTGTACTTCAGCGTCTGCTGTGAGAGTTTTTGTCTTAACATTCTGGAACACAAACAACACCAACCACCCCTAACAACATCCTTAACCCATATAACACCAACCACCTATGATAGAGCAACCCCAGCCCACCGTACAACCACCTCTGACCACCCCAACACATACAACACCAACCATCTCTAACAACCTTAACCTATCTAACACCAACCACCAATGACAGAGCAACCCCAGCACAGCGTACAACCCCTTATGACAACCACCCCAGCACAACAACCCTCGTCCATCCAACCCTAACCCATCTAACACCATCCACACATGACAGTGCAACCCTTAGCCCACCGTACAACCTCCTCTGACAACAACCCCGGCACAACCACCCCAGCACAACAACCCTCGTCCATCCAACACTAACACATCTCGACAGAAAGGATTTTTCGCCTAGGTTTTCCTTCTATTAAACTCATCCGACTTTATTTTTTCCATGTTCCCTTCTCCTCCTCGCCCTATAATTCCTCTCTTTATTAAATGCAGGCCATTAGTGAATAAGATTGGCAGACCCGTTTCCCCGGCCATCCCCTCTTGAGTTAATCTCGGGGACTCGTGAGGTTCCTTCCGCGTTTTTCAATTTGGACTCGGAAGACCTTTTTGGCACTGGATTATTCTATTAATTTATCCCCCCTCCCCCTTTCTTTACTTTGTTTTTATCAATTTTCCGTTCGTTTTGTATATTTCGAGTCTTTATTCCATTTGCTTTATAATGGCTTCGTTCATTAAATTACGGATACTCCAAGCAACTCATCGCGTTTCTACCGTTATTTCCCCTCTTCCTTGTCTAGTTACGCTCTATTCTTTATGTCTCCGGATAAAAAAAAAAACGCGGAGAAAGAACGACACTTGAGGTCTTCGCCTAGCCACCATCTTTTTAAACCTTAAAAACATCTCCCGGCAGAACATTGTTCCAAGCAGGCCGGCTGAAAGCTGAAATTTTCAACTTCTTAAAATTAAATTGGAATCAAATGGAAAAAAATAGAAAAACGTACCAAAGTCTTTTTATCAAATGTAAAAAACTTATCACCACCTTGTTAAGGGAGTACATACTTTATATATTCACTAAATTCAGATATACAGCTAAATCGTTACAAATTTTCAAAAATTTCCAGTTATGTCCCCTGATGGTCTGTTAGTTTCCCACAGTCATCGTATGCATTACATTACTTACTGTCTTGTCAAATTAGACGTCGTTTAAAAAAAGTATAAAGTATCGTGTTCATTAAAATTTCTGAAACAATTAGGTCCAAGAATGGTATAGATTTTTTTTCGTTTCAATTTTTTCGTTAATTAAAAATAATTTCCTGCAGAAAAAAAAAATGGTTTGAAAATCTCGAGCAAGCAGCCCCAGGAGCAAGACTCATTAACGTCATTAACGTCATTAACGTCATGACACGGACGTTTGTGTCATTGACGTCCCGCTCGCATGTCATTAAGTTCACTCGACGACGTCACCGGGACGACCCTGCCCGGTGTCATTAAAAGTCGCCCAATGCCAGGGCGTTCTGGGCAACGTGACCTCCAATTTGGTCCTAACTGTCAAGTCTCTGCCTCGACATCTACCTGCTAAAGGTTGCTGGCACCTGCACTCTATTCCCTGTCCGCCATAAAATATGCTACTCCTAGTAATGACCCATTAACTCAATTTTGACATTTTTGTTTCTAATTTCACTGGCCCACAGTTGTGCATATACACACACCTTATATATATATATATATATATATATATATATATATATATATATATATATATATATATATATATATATATATATATATATATATATATATATATATATATATATATATATATATATATATATATATATATATATATACACATGCATACACGTTCTTTCATTCAGCAATTGGAACATTCAATTTTCTTTTATTTAAAATTTCTTTAGATTTTTCAATCATCTCCACCCCCCCCCCCCTCCTTCAGCCTACGTTTCGCCCCACAAGGAGTGTATTGAACCGTTTGAGCGCCATTACAACACAGGAGCCACAAACCAAAACAATCCCATCGCGAAGACGTTCCAACATTTAATCACATTTCGCCCCGCTCCTGTTGAGTGCAGTCCCCCCACAGGCCGGGCTCCGCGGGGCCGGGGCTAAGTCGAGCAAATAGACCCGGGGTTAAGATCTTCACTCTTCGGGGGCAGGGCGCGCGGGGAGGGGGGCGCAGGTGGATGGGGCTGGAGATTTGAAATCAACGAAAGAAATTATGACTAAATTAGTACTGTCGTAATTAGGTTTCTCGTCAATATTAATGGGGTTCTGTTCCCCCCATGATTGTGTTGGAGATGAAGTACAAGTGTGGCACGCGTTAACACACACACACACAACACACACACACACACACACAACACACACACACAGTAGTATGAAAACACACTCACACACACACACACACACACACACAACACACACAGTAGTATGAAAACACACACGTTGATGCACACACACCCCTCATATATATATATATATATATATATATATATATATATATATATATATATATATATATATATATATATATATATATATATATATATATATATATATATATATATATATATATGTGTGTGTGTGTGTGTGTGTCCAAACACAGAAATTATTTCTGTAATCAGAAGGGCCCGCGTGAAAGGTTAACCAGTGCAGCAATTGTGCACAATTTATTTATAACCTTGCCAGTCTATTTTTAGCACGGTATCTCTGGATTATCTGCTCTTGAAGAACCAACTCCTTCTTCTTGGACTTTGATACTGCGATACACACGGACGTGGTAGATAGGGTTTCTTCGGCACTTTTCTCTTCATTGCTGCTCTCCTCTGGCTCTTTATCCTAGGATCGTTGTCATACATTTATCCTAGGATGTTTTGTGACGTATCCTGTGATGGTTTGTTTCTTACAGGGATAGATGCTAAAGAATATTTACTTTGTTTGGTAGCTAGGCATAGAGTAGCTATGCTAAGGGTAGCTATTCATAAGTTAGCCGTGTGCTGGGTACATATGGTAGCATGTAAAAGTTAGCCTTTACTTGGTACATAGGGTAGCATGTAGAAGGTAGCCGTGTACATAGGGTAGCATGTAGAAGGTAGCCGTGTACATAGGGTAGCATGTAGAAGGTAGCCCACTTGACGGAATCGCTTGTTGTAATGACAGAGTTTACAACTTGATGGCAGCCCATGGGTGCTTGAGAGAGCATAAAACCTCTGCAGTGGGGCCATAAAACCTCCAATACCAATACCACTAGAGCCGGGCTCGAGGGGCGGGCGAGGGTTTATAGACCTACAGTCCGAGCCTTCCCGAGGGGAGGGGGAGGGGGCTGTGTACTTTCATATCTTATGTTACTGATTATCTCTGTTTATTGGCGTGCTGGCTGGTTGACAATGCCGTACTTTGTGTGGAGGAGGGGAGGGGTGGGGAGGGGTGCAGTTTTACATTTTATTATTTAATATTATTGTAAGCTGTTGACATAGCCTGATGATGCACCTGGGGACAGCGGTACCAGGAGGGTTAAGGCTTGTTGTCCTGGCGACATCGGTACCAGGAGGGTTAACGTTTTTAAACGACTTCAACGTTTTATATTACAAGCTGTAAAGGCTGGAAATAGTGTGGTGATAAGTGGGTGGACGTGGGAGATTTGTAGAGTACAGCTCTGTAGGGTGCTGCTGTGTCCCCCCACCCCCATAAGGTGGTGGGGGAGTGGGGGGGGGGGGCTTGTATATATGGGGGTCAAATCTGGTCATACAATTTTGTTTATAAATATTTTATTCCGATATGGATATAACAAGTTTGATCAAACTGTTTCCATTCCTTATAGTTCCCAATGTTAAAGAGTGTTTGCACTTATTTATTCTGATCTTGGAAAAACCAAAGAGACCTACGGGTCAGATTGTGGTCAAGCTGTTAGACCTCAGCACGTGGAATCCATGCCACGGAGATCGAAGCCGGCCTTGAGGTGTGACATGAAAACGTGAAGGTGGAGCCAGCGTGTGTTTGTCCTGGTCTGCCGTTATCGTCTGCTCCAAGAGCCTCTCAGCGCCGGCTTAAAGTGACACGTTTATCTCCCCTTAGCTAGCGAAGAAAGCTGTATCATCACTCGGGGAAGGGGGGGGGGTATTTACTGGGGTGGCGAAAGGTGGGTCGGGGGGTGGCAGTATCATCATTCTGTGATACTAAGGTGGAGGTAGGGGGAGGGGGCTAGTGGACGGTGGGACTCCGTAACATCACACTTCCACTGATTTGAGGAGTTGGGAAAACGACAGTTTAATATTGCGATGGGTAAACTGTCTTCCTGTTTTATGGTGGATGGCATAAAAATATGTGTATTTAATGTCTCATGAACTACACATACACACATTATATATATATATATATATATATATATATATATATATATATATATATATATATATATATATATATATATATATATATATATATATATATATATATATATATATATATATAATGTATGTATACATCATGTGAATTTGTTGATATAGTAAATGTTACTCTCTTCACAATTCTGAGTTAATAGGAGTAGGCTGTCCCACCCTCCCCTAATCGGCCCAGGCTGTCTCACCCTCCGTGCTAGGGAAGTTACCACTCGAAACGACTTACCGGCAGAAAAAAAAAACACAACCACCCATTGAAACACGTAATCGGAAGACTCGGGGAGACGCAAACACAAGGCAGAAATGTGAACAGCTAAACTTTGGACTTAGTGCCAATATTGTGTGTTGCACGCTGATAACAGACGGATCCCTGCACGTAGCAGGTCCTTCTGAGAGATCGTTCACGGAGCTTGAACGCGCCCTAGTTTATTCTTGCCCTTTGTTTAATGACCTGCCAAGATTTTATTTCGCAGAGTTTTTATCGTTTATAACTAAAATTCAATAACTGAATTGTGCTTCGAACAAATACTACACATGTTTAATAATCGAGGGCATGTATATACCATCAATCCCTCCCGCTATCAATCCCTATCAATCCCTCAATCGTCGTTACTGTCCTTTTTTTTTAGCCACGGAACTAGATAATGTAAGCATAGCTTCCGCGCTTCTCCGTGCACTATTTATATTATAAAATTCCAAACTATTTAACCTAGCCGGGCTATTTTTAAGTGTATTAAAATGTTTTGTTGAGTTTTCCAAATGTTTGTAGCGCCGGGGCCTGTTATCAGCAGACATTCCGTGCCCCTCATTTTGGTGACTAACCCCCGCCTGCGTCGTCCCTAGGAGCTGGGCGGAAACCTGAAGACGCTCTTCAGGCTGACCTAGATTACAATGCGCCATTTGTCTGTTTGGTGAGCAGCCATCTTGGGGGCAGATAACCCAAGGAAAACCTGACATTTAAGGGAGATAATCGCAGCTTCTTCGGCCGTATTTAAAAAGAGGAGAATGTAAATGCAACAGTTTAGTTCCCTTTGGTTGCACCGTGCAGATGGGCTAGAGTGCACGTCTACATCGGCCAATGCACGTCCATCAGCGAGCCGACAGATATACAACACATTGTACACGTGCCGTCTGTACACAAATACACACAACAGCTTTCGTACACAATTCACGTGTACACCACACGCTTGTTTACAATTCAATGTACACGTATTCTATGATATACTCATTTTATATTTCAACGTGTAGGCCTATATAGAAAACACGAATATAACCGTCTTAACATTCAATAACATAATCCCTAATAATCTCCTCTGTTACTGTCTCTCGTATATTTGCTTCACTGCGGATAATGCGTCTTTGTTCTACAATTCAATATGATTCTAAAACTTTGAATTATTTAAAAGTTGTAGTTTCTAATATATAGAAATGAATCAGTGATAGTTACAAAAACAAAAAAAAACCTGCTAATTAGTAAGCTGAAGCTAAGTGTACTTATAACTTGACTGGTTACTCCGCCGCACCCCACCCCCTTCTCCCCCCTCCCCTCCCCCCAGAGCTGACTAGGGTGAGCAGGGAATGTACTGAGGTCATCAGCATTTTCCCGGTTGTCTCGCTTGGCCCCTGCCCAAAACAGCTTAGATGAGTGGGTCTGGTGAGATAAAGAGGACAGCCGCCCTTCACAGCCCCGCATGCCTGGAATGTGCCAGGACCGGGGAGATAGAGAGAAAGTGAGATAGAGAGAGATAGATCGTGGGAGGAGGGATCGTGAGAGAGGTGAAGGAGATAAGACGCACCGACACAAAAAAAAATATAATTAACGTTGATGAAGACGAAATATAAGCACATTCTGTTGAAACTCGCCCGAAATTTACATTCGGCCAAGAAAATTATTTTGTCCTTAATATCTCCCTTGGCACCCGGTCACAAAGTCTTCGAGAACATTCTGTCAACACGATTCTTAGAACTACATGTGAAGCTGAAAAAATGGGGGGGGGGGGGGGCATCACTGGATTAGATGTACACAAACATGTCCAGCTGATTAGTAACGGTGTCACGTCACTGTCACGTGACGAATCACGTGACGTAGTGTCACGTGAATTCAAGTAAAAACACAGGTTGCAGACAGAAACAGAAAGCACGGGTATCAGTGGGTGTTAGTTGGAATAAAAGCCATTGTGAGACGGCCAGTCGGGTCCTGCCGTGGCAAACAGTTGGATTTCTTGTTATGAAAATTTCCCTAATCTTCGTCTCCTCCTGTTCCTTACTAAAAACCATTGGCCTTGTTCTGGAAAATAAAAGGGATCGCGGTAAACAAAACAATGTTATCTTTTACAATCCAAGATGGGGAGCCCCTCACAGGGGGCCCATTATTGCAGTCCGCGCCGTACAGGGGGCCCATTATTGACGTTCGTGCCCCACAAAATAGTAGCTAGCCAAGTGGAAAAAGGCCCGGAGAGCAGGGAGTAGTGGCGTCCTGCCGGCGTCTTGATGCCGCTAATGCAGTGACCATGTCGAGCCGCAGTGATAGATCAACTCACCTGGGGAGGGGGAGCCGGGGGTGGGGGAGCAGTCTCCGTGTCCACTTGTGCTACCTACGTGTAGGGGAGCACCGGCACTTGTTAAGCGTTAATCCCTTATTTAATCGTTTGCGACACGGCAGCCGATCCTACACTATTCTCAACGAGACTGTCGTTGAGTGGCTTATCAACAGTGTCGGTATATAATAACGCTATAGATTTTTTCTCATTTGATTCTGTCGTTGAGACTCTAATTATAGTTATAAACTGTAAAAACTAGCTAACGGAATAAAACCATTTCGATTAATTAATCGCTTAAAATATTTAATATAAGAAAAATTAAACAACCATTCATTTTACAGAGCTAATAATAATTAATATTATAAAAAATGTATCTTCTGTCTTTAAAATTGAAAATAAAATTATTTTTAGCAATATAAATTAATACAGTGGATTGCTGAATTTAATTGTGACCATAGTTATGATTAATTTTAGAGATTGTATGATTAATTTATACACAATTTAGAATTACAGAATATTGATTATTCGGTATAGAAAACATTAGGGTAGAGATTACTAAACGATATAATATAGGATTATGTAATATAGAATATATTAGTATATTATTATAGAATCTAGGCTATACAACAAGTAATACATGATATGATTGCACAATAGAAAAAATACATAATATAAAGGCCCATTTTTTAATCGAATTTAAGACTCATTTCGTTTATAAAATTAGTTATTACAAAAAAAAAATTGCAGAATACGTAATAGCTATTTTTATCGAATTTATACATAGAATGACTATATAATCTTAAGAACATGATTATGTAGTGGCGTAGGTACAAGGTGTGCCAAGGGGCTATACCCCCCCCCCCGATATATATATATATATATATATATATATATATATATATATATATATATATATATATATATATATATATATATATATATATATATATATATATATATACATATACATATACATATTTACTGTACTCAAGTAGTACCCCTAACCAGAGGCGTCACAAGGTTGGGGGGGGGGGCGGGGCTGAGGACTGCGCAAGGTGGCAAAATTTCGGGGGTGACACCATGGCGAAAAATAGCAAAATATATAGAAGAAGTAAGCATTTTGCCAGTTCAATAAATGACTAATGAGAGTTAACTGTACTAATAACTGACTGCAGATAAAAAAAATATACAATTAACTGTGCACGTTTAAAAACTATCATTCAGGGGGGGGGGGGGGGTGAGGGGAGATGACACAAACTGCAAAATGTACAGGTGAATACATGCTTGTTGAATTTTTGGATAACAGATTTGCTAAGCGACGACCGGAGAGAGGCTGATACCAAAATCTAATAATTTACGATGAAAACGATGCTTTTTTTCACATGAATTAATAGGTGGATTATGTGCAAAATTTGACGCCATTTGGGAAAATGGGAAGTCACCAAATGTAGCTATATATATATATATATATATATATATATATATATATATATATATATATATATATATATATATATATATATATATATATATATATATATATGCATATCTAGAATTATTTATATTTCGCTCTATGTATATATATAATGAAGTTTTGCTTGTTTGTTTGTGGGTTTGTTTATGTCCTCTATGCAGCACTACACCTTTCATCCTATGACCATGCAACTTAAGTTAAGAATACCACTGGATATATTTCACAAGCACGGTGCCCCAGCAGGGCGCGAATCGATTCTATATATAGATCCCTATATAGGGTATATATACGTAAAAGTAGATTGCGGTTTAATCCCGTTCATCCGCTCGCCATAAAACTTCAGGGGAGGTTATTTTTTTTTTATTTTAACAGGGCGGCGTTTCTGGAGGGTGCAATTTTTCTCTACACAGTTTGTAAAAAACAAAACGGATGCTGTTTGACATCGTTTATCTGAGTGCCGTTAAACTTTCGAGAGTTAATGAAAACACTCACGAGAAGGTTTCTGCGAAAACAAAAATTAAAATTTATTATGGGCGTTTCCCTGGAGGGTGCGATTTTTGTTAATAAGCGGCTTGGCGCCTGAAAATCCAGGGCGGCGATATTAAAACTGCATGGGGGCTAAGGTAAAAAAGCAACAACAGGCGCAGCCGCCGGCGCCCCGGATATTACGTAACCCGAAGCGCCCCGTGCTACCATGTGAACACTATGACGCCTACGTTCGTTTTTTTTTTTTAAATTTATACACTAAAGACACGATGGGCAACAATAATTTTTGACTATATGGAATCAGGCGCGTCTGCCGGCTCCCCGGCAGGAAGCGATTTGGCGCCCTGAGATATCCTAAGGTTGTGTTAAAGAGCACTCTACAATATTGACCCTGTGGCACACGACATTCGATGACAATTCGTTTGACCCGATGCGCCACTGGCTTCGGGAGGAACACTATGAGTTTTAAAAGAGCGCTCTACAGTAGGGAAATTTTTTGTCTACTGCACCACTGGCGTGTGGTCTAGCGCCCCTGTGTGGGTCCCTCATAAACACTATTGCGCCTACGTTCGTTTTAAAGAGTGCGATACATTATGGATACAATGGGCTACTGTGTGCGGTAGAATTTGCGCCTCAACAACTATGATGAAAGCAATATAACACCGGCTTTGATTACATTTAAATTGTTTAGATTTAGAAATCAATGTCAAGCGTAAAAAAATACGTGATTGCTAATGTAATTATGGAATCCTCTTAAAATATTGCGTCAGTCTGTCTTCTGAGACCGCAGCAACGCGCGGGACGGGTTCGCTGGTTTAATATATATTTCTTCTATATAAATAATTCTCTTCATGGATACCATAGAAAACACCAAGCTGTAAGCGCCCCTAGCAGCCCCCTCTCTTTCTCTCTATCCCTACCACCCCCATCCCTACATGGTCTAGTGAGCTGTGGTTCAAGCTAAATGTTTACAATCGTAGAGCCGGGTTTAGTGACAGCTATTAGGGGCAGATAATTTAGTTTGAAACGATTTTAAACTTAGTGGAGGTAACTCAGAGGGGGCTGCTTTCACGAGGAGTGGGGGGGGGGGGTTAGGATTTTTGGGAAAGGAGGGTGGGGAGGGGGGGTTATCGTCCTTAACGAGCTACTGATAGTGTTTTAAAGCAAATATTTTCAGTGGCAGCATTGTTACTGTCAAATTCACAAATTATGAATTACAGAAAAGTAGAAAATGAAACAACAAAATAGCGGCGTATGATAGCGGCTCGTAAAATATAAAACACAATGTAAATACCTTTGTTATACCTACGGAAAATAATAATATGTAACATGGATTCCTGAAATTTTGCGCTGCTTTAATTTTTAACGTTGGGATCCTCCATCGACATCCATACTCTCCTTTAGTATGTTCAGGCTTTTTTTTTTCATTTATGGGAAGGGATGATCGGAAAGTGTGACGACACATTTTTGCTTTCATCCGTTATTTCGGGCTTTAAAAGATTGCTTTTGGTATTAATTCATTTATTAACTCAATGTTTATCGAGGTCAGTACATATTATAATAAACCGGGAGTGATCTCCCCTAAACTTTCTCGAATATTCTAATATAACACTACGGGGAATGGCAACTCGGGATATAGACATGATTTTTAATCCATTTTAAATACTTAAACTTTTTAAAATAGAATAAAACCTCGTAGAAAAAAGAATTGCACACCAAGTGAACGTCAAATAAAGATGTGCATAATAGTGCGCAACATTATTAGTACTTTATAAATTTACGTGCGATTTTTGAGAAATCGGAAATAGCGTAAATTAGTACTTCCTGTCAACGGAAATCACTCAAAATTTGACAGAAGGTAGAGAATTAGATCTTTTGCTTACATGTGAAAATTTTCATTTATCTATCTGCAATAGTACTCAAGTTATAGGCTTTTGAAAAATTCAAAGTAGAAAAAGTACCACTTTCGGTTATCGGAAATCACTCAAAAGTTTATACGGATCTATGATTTTGATAAAATACTTATATATGAAATTTCATCAACCTAGCTGTAACGGTACTCAAGTAATCGTGTTTACACACAGACACACACAGACACAGACATACGGACAAGATTGCAAAATTATGTTTTTCCGTATCAGTGAGGTGTAAAACGTCGAGATTTGTAAAAAAAAATCTCGATTTTTTTTTTGCACGATTACAAGACTTTCTCTATACTTCGTATATACGAGAAAGTAAAAATACAGTTTCAGGGGAACGGCGGAGGGGGTTATGTGTTGAGGTGTAGTGTTTTTAAAGAGAGTGGTGGGGGGGGGGGAGCGAAGATCTGGCTTTTTGTGAAAATTTGTTACAATTAGAGAAGGGGGGTTTGGTGCAAAATCGTCTGAAGAGTGAGTCGTGGTTAATGGGTGACCACTTTATGATTGTATATTGACGTCACCATTATTTTGGGCGGTGGCTTTATGTGACGATATGTAACGAGAAAAAAGAGGGTTGAGTTAATGGCGTAGCATTTATTTTGCATTTTTTAAGGATACAAATAATAAAAACACTGCTTATTTTGTTTTACATGTGTGACGACATTGTGTTAACCAAATGTATTGAATAGTAGGACTTACAGATTATTAGTTCTCTCCCCCCCCCCTGAAGCAATTACCCCCTGTCATTTACCCCCCGCCAAGGAGGACATCTCCCCCCCCCCCCACACGCACACACCTCTTAAGGTACAGCTGGGGTTAGGGTTATGGTTAGGGTTACGGCTAGGGTTAGCGTTAGGGCTAGGGTTAGAGTTAGCGTTCTGGCTAAGGTTAAGATTATGGTTAGGGTTACGGCTAGGGTTAGGATTAGGGCTAGGGTTAGAGTTAGGGCTAGAGTTAGAGTTTGGGCTAGGGCTAGCGTTTGTGCTAAGGTTAGGGTTATGGTTAGCGTTAGAGTTAGGGCTAGGGTTAGAGTTAGGGCTAGAGTTAGGGTTAGCGTTCGGGCTAAGGTTAGGGGGTTAGCGTTAGGGCTAAGGTTAGGGCTAGGGTTAGATTCAGAATTAGAGTTAGTGTTATGGTCAGGGTTAGGATTAAGGCTAGGATTAGGGTTAGTGTTATGGTCAAGGTTAGGCTGAAACCTAAGTCTAGAGTTGGTTTTGGTTATGTGTTAAGTTTTAGGCTGAGGTGAATGCTTAGGGTTTGGTCATTTTTTTATCGATTAGGATTAAGGAAATACATAGGTATAGAGTTTGAGTTAGGATCATAACTTGAGGCCGGGGGGGGGGGGGGGGTTCTCCAGTGGGGTTATTGACAAGGGGTAATTGCCCCGGGGGGTAAATACGGGAGGGGGGCTCCTCCGGGGGGGGGGGGTAATTGACGGGGTGGGGGTAATGTCATGTAGCCAGGTCCACTATTAGAAAGCCAAGATTCCAAACTCTGTAGCCTTATGTATGTAGGTAATCTAATCTCATACAAGTTCATGAAAGCAACATCAAAGACGAGAAATAAAAAGAGCCATCGTTGTCGGCTTATTTAACAGGGAAATCTTAGTCTAAATCAATCCACGACAATGTCTTTAAGACAATAAACCTTAACTTTGCTTGAAATAACAATTTCGTTCTTCATTCAGTCAAACTCAACATTATGGCTTCACTGAACTTTGTCATTGAAAGGCATGTGTAGTTTGAAATGTGTGTCTGTTAAAATTGTACAGTTGATACCGAATATATCCAGCCTTTTTCTTCTTCGTTCAGCTGCTTTTCTTTCTGGATTTCTTTTCTTATCTTTTGTCAATCCAAGAACAAGTGTTGTATCCCCAAGATAGGTTGCTATCCCCAACTATAGAGCCTCATCTACACGGGAGATTGAACTCAGGACTTCTCGGTTTAGCAACCACGAACTTTACAAGTTCTTGATTTTGGTATTGGCGTGTCAGTTTTCTTCTTTATTTAGTCGACATCTAAAGTTAAACAAAAACAGTTGCCTACCTCAGCAAAAATCAATGTAGGCCAATTATGGCCAGTGTAGCAATTAGCAACATCAAAGTTGATTTGGATTCCATGCAACACTCATTCCATACTTCTCTAGTGTGGAGGTCTTGCTTATTAATATTATCCTGTTTGTTTGATACTTTTCTTTAACTTAATAATATTAACCATAGACACTTTTTGCCTGGAGTACAAACTGGGTCACAGTATTCTCTGGTAAACAATTAAGTTCTTTTCCAAATATATGCTCAGCTAATAGAAACAGCATTCCTAGATTATTTATTTTTTTTTGTTTTTTTTTTTTAAAAAGCTTCAGCTGTTTTAATGTCAACTTGTGCTGGGAATACTATAACTACATACAACCCTTTTCAGCTTTCAATCACTTGCATCTTATGTACAAAGTATGAAAACCAAAAACATCAAATTTTGAGAAATAATTTATTTATGAAACAATTGCATATAATTATAAAGCCAAACATTAATATATCAAGATTATTGCAATTATCACCATTTGCAGATTCTTGTTTAACTATGGTAGATGGAAGTATTAGTTGCCTTTTACATCACTTTTCACTTCCTGAAACAAAACAAAATGATTTTCTTAATCATCCATCTGAAATAATAAAATTAGCAAAAAAAAAAATCTTTAGTTTAAATTAGTTTAATACATCAAAACAAAACAAGAAAAAAGTGATTGAATGAGATGAATCACGGCACAGATATCTATAAAATTTTGCTTTAGTGATAAAGGGGGAAAAATTTAAGTTATTTTAAGTGAAACATAAGCTAGAGAAATAAACTATTAGGCCTAATTTAAATAATTTAATTCCTTTCTCCCAAAACACTACATGTATCCTTAAAAAAAGAAAACTTAAAATTTATCAATATTTACCTTGTGTATAAACTCTTCTGTACATCTACTGTATCAGCTTGATGCTCATTAGGTATGCCTAGTTCCTGTTGAGCAGTTAAGACAGATTAAGTAAATAATTCAAATTTGTAAGACAAACCACTAAATGATACTGTTATATATATATATATATATATATATATATATATATATATATATATATATATATATATATATATATATATATATATATATATATAAATATATATATATCTTTCCTGCAAATCAGCATATTTTGCAAAACAAATATTTAAAAAAATACATAATGATATTGTATCAATCATCACCACTGACTTGGTTTTACTAGGTAAAATATTTTTTTAAATACAATATTTATACCAATAAAAATCTACCTCCATCAACATGTTCAAAATAAACCAAAGCAAACTTGTGATAACTTACCTGATTAATGTTTGAGAGGATTCACCCAGTTCTCGCCACTGAAGCAGATTAGATGCATGTGTTATTACACTTGTGATATACTGATTGCCATTTTGTGTACTTTTAGTCCTGGAGATCTATGTTGTAGGCATAGACTGTTAAACCTGGATAGTAATATTATAGAAGTAAATTATATCTAGTATAATATAAATATTTTAAAATATAAATGACACTAAATTATATTTATCATTATTGGAAATAAAAATGGTACAATTAAGTTATAAAAAAACAAATTATAAAATTTAAAGCAGCTTATTAATAATTGTCATACCTTTTCCTACTTTTATGTCAAATGTAAGAGGTAATAGAGAAAGAACATCTTGTGTCATTTAGTATGCTGTAGTCTTATTACTGGTAAAAATCAGATCTTCCCTTTTTTTTGGATGAACCTGTAAAAGAGAAATTACAACATGGATAAACACAATGAATATCATATCTAATCCTCAACTAGTTATCACCCCAATCCTAACCTCATTTTTTAAAACCAATTTCTAAATATGTTTTCAGAACAAATGTATGTTAAGTCTACCTATTTTAATGTTCAGAATACTAATATTTATCAAAACTACCTCCAGTTGAAATTCAAGATACCTTTATAAAAAGTTATTATGACTTTAACTTTGTGTAGTTGTTATTTAGGCTATTTGTTTAATTTATATTATTTAAATTAATATTTCATGCCTTGTTTTAAAAAGATCTACAAGTCTACTTTTGATTTTATGGTATAATCTGATAAAAATTAGGCTGCTACATCTGAAAACTAAGGTCAATGCAAAGACTTCCAAATTAACGATAAGTAGGCTTGTATAGATATTGTATATAATTACTAGCCCAATAGTATTACTCTACGACCAATGTATAGGACTTAATGTATCAGACCTAATTCCTATAATTAGGCCTACTAATTATTAAATAATTAATAGATCTAACAGTAGGATAATTACAATTATGGGCCTTAGCTGACATAGAGAGCTGAATACTTAACTAAACATTTTTAAAAATTATAGTAAGCTAAGTGAGTTGAATTATTTTATTTAGCTAGGCCTAGGCTATAATATACTCTATAGCAGTCTATAGTTAAGTGATAGCCGCAGAGTAGCGTATATCATAATAATTTCAAATTAAATCTATAAGCAACATTAAGCCTCTGCCTTGTTGCCTAATTAAAAACTAAAGCCTATTAAGCCTTTTCCTAATAAGCCTTTGGCCTAATTTAAATAACAGCCTATAGGCCCTATAATATATAAATAGGCTAAACTACTTGTAAGACCTAATAGTAGTAATAGACTAATGACTAAGAGTGCTAGGCCCCTTTCCGATATTATATAATAATTGCTTGATCGATATCATAATATCTAACACTGATTACATTAATTTACATAAGGCTATACCATCTTAACTATGACTAATACTTTTTCTACTAATAAAATAGGCTATCTCTAGTTTAAACTTAGGCCTAATAGTAATTAGTAATTATAATTAAGTAGGCCATTTTATGACATTTATAAAATTTTTAGTAGATGGCCGAGCCTTAAATTTAAATACTAAAATAGATTTAGCATACTATGCCTATTGTTGGTCTAATTAATAATTTATTTTTCATTTAGAATTTTAGATCTCCAAAAGATAGGCCTAGGTCCTAAATAAATTATTTTTATTTTATTGAGCCCGCCTTAATGTATAAGATGTGATCTGTTTTTTTAATAAAAATAACCCTACACAATACTAGGGATTTAACTAATATCTAGTACTACTTTAGGCCTATTTAATTATTTATTAGTAGGCTGAATAAAATCTAAAGCTATAAGGCCTACTTTATTACTATATTTGCCTATTATTCTATAATTAATTTATGTTTTCTTTCAATACATAGTAGATCCTGTGGTACCTCAACATTCTAGTGCCTCGACATACCAGATTTTTTAAATACGAGCAGTTGAGCGAGTAATATTTCGCTTTGAGTTACGCGCAAAATTTGAGATACCATATTTCACAGTTCATGTAAAAGAAATACCCCCAAAAAGATGCAAATGATTATTTATCGCAGCTATTTAATTATAATAATAAGCGTCTTACTCATATTTGCAGCATTATGAAAGGGAGAAAGAAATAAACTTCCTAAACAAGTTTTATTTTAAGCTACCAGCACATGAAAGTGACTTAAATTAAGCATGGCAAAAAAGAAGAGAAAAGCTGTCACGAAAATTAAGCTATCGTAATAATTTTATTTAGTATTTATTTAGGCCTTACGTTTAAGTCTTAAGTGCAACAATGCTCAGTGAATTTTAGCCATTAATGTCATTAAGTTTAGGAATGATGTCACTGTACTTGTGTAGCTTTAACTTTAGTATATATTATTTTTAGACCTAAGCCTAATCTTGTAGATATAGATCTACAAACAATTTGAAATAGAAGAGATTTAAAATTGAGTAGATCTAGACTTCTAGATCTAGATCCTAAATGCTAAAGGACAGCTATGCCACAGAAATAATTATCTTTCTATCTAGTCAATCTAGACTAGTCTAGATCTAGCTAGTGCTACTGAAAAATTACTAGATTTTCTAGATCTAGATTCTATCATTTACTTTCGACGCACTAGGCATACTTTTAACTTGTTCTCTCTAGTCAATAATGTAGATTTCTAGATCTAAATGTAAATCCTGATCTTGTAGATTTGATTTACGTAGGTTTTACATCAGTGTAAATCGTTGATCAAGTAGATCTAGTCTAGATCTAGATCTGGACTAGCTCTCGTCAAAACAAAATGGCTGGAATATTAGCTTCAAAACACCTACAGTTTATGCTTTCCTAATTGTGGAGAGCATGTTTAATTATTGTTTTATTTTCAACGACAGTGTTGACTGAGAAACCACCAAAGGGTTTTATTCTCAGCGACACAGTCGGAGAGAGGCTCAACGATTCTGTCGTTGAGATGATCCGCATGGGGTGGACACGGCGCCAGCGTCAGTTTGTTTTCAACTGGAAAACTTTTGGCTCTATTGTTGGCGTCTGCTTGCCAATTTTCTAAGCCGAGAGGGGGCGGGTGGGGGTGGGCATGGGAGAATACTCTACAAAAACTTGAACTGTTTACCTCCCTTTTGAAAACTAAATAACATTTTGAAATAAAAAATTAACTACATGGAAATTATAAACAAACATTTGCCAATGGTTTGAGCAAGCGTGTTAATTATATACATAGTTTTGAAAGTAGTACTCAAGCAAAGAGTAAAGTGCTGGCGATTTGCTATTACATAATTCCTTTGCTGCATTTTGGGCCAGATGTGAATGATGACACAGTGTACAGTGTACTAAAACCT